GCCACCCCCAATTTTTCCCGATTTTGTATGTTCAGATCCCTGGGCGCGTGCCCGGGGTAATACGGTATACCGCAATCAAACATTTCACCAAATTGCAGAGACATACCAAAGAAATGGTTGACACGTTGCATATTCCATTTGTTTGACGTCATTCCATGCATACATTGAACCCAAAACATGAATCCTTGTTTTGAAAATGCTACTAAAAATACGTAAACAGACTGACTATTACTTAGAAATAATACAGTACTTACATCTCTTTTTGCTTGGTTTCCTGAACAAACCGTCTCTCCTCTTCTCGTTTCAAGTAACTTTTATGTTTTTCCGTCTTGCTCCATTCAAAATATTCATTTTGCTGCTGCTTATAAGTACTGATGATTTCTCGCTTTTTCTCAAAAAGCTTGTCAATTTCTGAAACAGAAAGCGAGAGAAGCTCATTCCAGCAGGAGTTATTTCTAAAAGTGTCAACTGTATCTGCTCTTTTAGACACACAACAATCAATTAAGTAAAAAATAAAGTAGTTTTTGTAACTTAGAAGAGGTTTAGAAGAGATGACAAACTCATTACTAACATCTGTTATCTTGGTGGTTTTAACAAAGTATTTACTGGGGTCAAAATTAAGACAAATAAATGAACAAATTGCCTGTCCCTGTGGACAAGTGAACAAAGATAAAAGCCATGTATGGCACAGTCCCCGTTAGTTATACAATTTAAGATATATAGTTTTGTGTATAGTAATATAGCTGGAATATAAACATGTCAGGAATATGATTATGATGATTGTTTAACATTTAAATGACTGACATTTGTATCTGATCGTCAAACCAATATATCTGTATACATGTATCTATGACATGATGTATAATGAATATTCAAAATTTGAACATAATCAGTCACAGTAAGTCAGAGATATGGCACTAGAACCACATTCATTAAAACAAAATGGCTGCCAGTCAAAATGATGTGCATCAAGGTCCTATAATGTCCAATGTATATACCAAGTTTGAACAAAATCCATTTGTAAACAGCTGTAAAATGCTTGATTTTGATGATTTTTAGAACAAAAATTGCCGCCATTCGGCCATCTTGAATCAGATTGAGAAACAAATTGATGTGCATATGTATAATATCATGTATGATGTATGTGTGAAGTTTGATTGTGATTGGTCCAGGCATTTCTAAGATACATGTACAGGTCCGGACGAACGCACAGACGCATGGAGGTCAAAACACAAATTTTTAATTAACCAATGGGATAGTGCCAAGTTGATAATGTCCAGAAAATTGCTTCTAGCCTTATAAAATGATGATGGGCCAAGAATTAAATTGTTATTTTGAAGAATTATATAAGTTTAAATTTATCTTGCTTGGAACAGGTACATCACCAATTAGAACAGGTATTCTTATTCACCAACTTGTCCAATGAACATGCAACTTTAATTTTTAATTTCAACTCTTAGTTTAGTGAATGTGCTTTTAAAGCTCAACTTTGAGATTATTCCTTGAGCTTTGTTAGGGTTCTTTAACTAGTATTATTGTACTTGTTTTGAATGATTAGTACATGTACTTAAATAACTGACAGAGATGCATCAAAAAATTTGCATGGTCAAAATAAGTAAGATATTTAATGATCCAGCAAACAGTGAACACAATCTACTGTAGGATACTTTATTTTTGCTTGGAATTGATTTTCACTATTTTCGCTGAAGGAATTATTCAGTGAAAATAAAATTCAGTGAATACAAATTTTTTCCTATATTTCAGTTAAAATAAATTCCATACAAAGAACCAAAAATGTCTTTTCAGCAAAAAATAATTCCAGCTGAAATAAAATATTTTCCAGTATGGTGTATATGTACTTCTATGACAGATGTATTTCTAATAGAGCAAATATGAGAATAGTGATTCTAAAAACTGAAGAATTAAGATAGCTGCACAAACTTGCAATTTTTTTTTCAAACCTAGCCTACATAAATGTAAAAAAATGCTTCTATTTTTTCTCAACAGCATGCTTTTTTGATGGAAGAAAAATCAGGATCTGACGAGGATAGATGTACAGTAATTATTTGTTTTTATTCATAAAATTGTAATATTCAACCCAATGAATGCTTTTTCACCTTTTTTCAGTGTTTCTCTCAGTTGTCCAGATTCTTTATACTTAGCCCAAGTTTCATCTTCTTCACGTTTCATTCTATTAAGCTCTTTCTTAATACTCTCTTCCTGAGATCGGATCGTAAATACTGATTTAAAATAAAACTGTTATGGCAGAGAAAAAGAAAGAAATAACAATTAATACATAATACATCTGTCACTGTAACGCCATAAGTCACAGTTTTCATCCTACCATATTAGGAAATGTGAATTCCAAATATGGATTGATTAGAGCGTCCTCTAATAATAAAAACAAACATGGCTGCCATCAGGGTTTGACCGGACTCCACACAAAAAAGTTTGCTCATTCTGTTCTAAACATTTTAGATTTCGGCATTCCCATGATGTATTCTTGGGAAGGAAAAGATGTATAATAATAAGGTTATTACGACAGTAAGCTGTTGCAGCAACCTCTGCATCGGTCGATACTACTGCTGTAATGTCTTTGTGCATACTTTCGGTATCCTCGTAATAATCTCATATTATTATACACCTATCTCTTACATGGAGAAAACTATGTCATCCATGTTGATGCGTTCATGGTTATTGACGTCACATTTGAAAAAATTCATTCGTTCATATCAGACTCAGAAGCATTATAACACATCACAAAAATGTTTATGCATTGTTTGTCATTTTGGGCTTTACCGTAGATGTATAATGACAAGGATGCCGCAAAGTATGCACACAGGCAGTACTAGAACACATAGGCTTTGGCTATGTACTGATTGATATGATCACCATATTGCCTTCATGCATACTTGGAGGTATTCTCAAGATAACCTTATATTACATCAAGCATGTTTGTAAAGCCAAAGAAATAATTTGTTGCATTTATTATGGTTATTAAAGTGAAGCTGATATTATATATGTGCTGCTCTTGGAAATGCACTTCTAGTAGAGAAAATATGGAACATATAAATGTTACACATGAATGATTAAGTCGACTTACATCTCTATTTGCTTTCAGTTCAGTTCTCGTTTCTCGTATAATGTCAATTTCACTTTGTTTCTCCAAAAATTCTCTGCAGGTGAACAAAAATAAAAATATATATGAAAATCAGATGGCATAATATAACAAGAGCAGTGGAGTATATTTTTCTATATACCTTAGTACTTTCTTGGATCTTTTTAGAGCATCGATTTCTGATACAATTCTTTTCTCCTCAGCCATTTTAAAATTCTGAGTTCTTAACTGACGGTCAAGTTTCCTAATAGTATCGTCAATTCGTGCATCAGTCTTGTATCGTAAAGTAGCCTGTAACTTCTTTACTGCATCAACCTATTGAACATAGCATACAAACATAACTACGAGTCTTCATGTCTCGCATCCATCTACCAACATGTGTTATGTGTTACAACAATTGTATATTGAATCTAGCTACTGTAAAACATGTCTTTTTCGCGAGCATGTCTTTAGCGAATTTAGCACGAGAACTAATTCGCTTATTTAAGATGTCGCTAATGACTTCATTATAAATTCAAAATGGCCACCAAACAACATATTTTACTCCACACACACACTTTGTAAACAACACAGACTACGTAATAATCTGGAGTGCTTATTACACTTGACAGTTTTTCTTTGTTTTCATGAAGGTGATACATGTAACTGCGCAATTGTTTTGGCGGGAGACAGACAAGTATTGTGAAAACAGGATATCAACAAAGAGAAGAGATTCGCTAAATCAACATTTTGCTATTACGTCGTTTTACCACAATTTGCTAAAATAGTATGTCGCTTTTTCAAAATGTTTTACAGTATATTCTTAACAAAGCTATTAACCACTGATTGGCTTATTTGACATTTTGACAGGGTATCTGCATCCACAGTCCCTCAACAACTGGTTTAGAAACACTTTTGTCTAAAAGGTGTTAATCACCGTAATCCTTGGCAGATGCGCGTTTCGGTTTTCAAGAGCGAGGCTGGCATGTTGAGGGATTGTGCTGCATGTCAACAAATCATAATATTGTGAGAGAAATTTTCATGAAGTCACTGTCAGTGAACTAGCTGTGAACTGTGAGTTCAATCAGTATAATATTAATATCATTAATATTGTCAGGATATAATTTTTCACATTTTATTTAGTGGGAGACTAAAAGATGAAGTAGTAAAATGTTGTCTTCCTAAACGCTTAGTTCATCAAATTGTGAGATTTGCTAGCAGCAAACATTTTACAGTATTAATTAAGGTACGTGCTAATCATAATACTCCTCATATCTAAGGTAAAGATATGCGCACTACCAAAAGTAGTGAGGGTCCAACTTTTTTCTCTCTCACTTATTTTGTACAGCGCCCTCTATTTTGGAATTTATTAAATCTGCAAAATTTATGTGAAGTCAAATTTATCTCACCAGAATAATCCGATAAAACAGAACATTCAGATTCTCCTGTCTTGTCAGGTTTTTTGAATATCTAATAAGACAGCAGACTCTGCAGATTACTAGATGAGATTTATCTGAACAGATTAATCTTAAGGGAGAAAAAAAATGTATTTCTTTTACTATTGTAGAATACTTTCGCTTGGAATTAATTTTTGCTATTTTCGCTGAAGGAATGTTTTAGTGAAAATAAAATCCAGCGAATATATCTTTTTCCCTATATTTTACATTCAAATCATCAAAAATCAGTGAAAATAAATTCCATATAAAACGCCTGAAAAATGATTTCAGCGAAAATTAATTCCAGCTAAAATGAAGTATTTTACAGTATAACATGTTTGAACTGTAATAGTAAAAATCAATTTGACCAGAAAAAGCACGAGTATTGGGTTTTTAAATATGTTTGCTGATTCAAATTAAATTTTAATATCAAAAAATATGCATATGAGAACATTAAGCATACTTTTTGTAAATTAACTTGAAACAAATCAACGATGAAAGTTTGTTTGTGAAACACTGCTAACAATGTTCAGATCTGAGCACAGAGGGAGAAACTCTGACCAGCAAAATGTTCAGGTCCTCAGGCTAATATCTAATCAAAGAAAGCTTAGAAAGAACTCCCGTGTGCTGAGGGAATAGGGATCATGATGTAATATTTGGGAATATTTGAAAATGATAAACAAATTATGAATAATCTATTAAATAAGGAGCCACCAGTAGTCATCTACACACATAAACATCGTACAAATGTATACCTACAATAAGCCTACTTAAAAATATGCATAAAAAGTCACACCTTAAAAACAAAACTGAAATAATTCATAAAATATTGAGGAAAATGAAATGCAACGAAAATAGTAAACAAATAAATGCCCAAAATAAACTTTTAAAAATATTTTAGAAATTTAGTTAACACGGAAAACGTAAAGTAGCAAGAACAACTATGTAAATTTCTGACAAACAATCACAACATAAATATCTAAAATTCAAACCACTATCTTAATATCAATATGTGTGTCAATAAATATTATATTTATTTATTTTCAGTTACGTATATTAATAAGGAAAGCATCACAATCTTCAGAGCCCCTTCGATTGGTTTGTATATCCCGAAAATCGACACAGTAAAATTACAACCATCGTACAGCTCAGTACCATAACAAATATTAATAATTTACGGCAGACTTCTCGGTACATAAAATTCAAAGTAATCCCAACGCGTCTCATTTGTTACTGCGTACCGGTATAAATTGACACTATCTGAGTGTCGCGATGAGT